TCTAATCTTCTAAGGCCTGAAGGTATTATTTTTAGTCTAAAGTAGACTAAAGTACAGAGAGTGTAATAGTTACCATCCTGTAGTCCACACTCAGACTAGAAAACAAAACACTAAGGGGAATCCTAAAGCTTCTCTCACTGCTTCCCTCGCGCTAGAAGAAACAGCTGGACTTATTCTTATTATCCTTTCACACTAGACAAAAGTATTCACACTTGAGAGACAAAGCAGAAAAAAAAAATTTAATAGAAAATCAACTTTTGTCTTCCTTAGATTCAAGCAGTTGCCGTCAGATGTTGAGACTTGGGATTGGTAACATTTCAAAATAGATTTGGAAACACAAGAAACCGAATCCAAACCCCCAAATGACCCTCTGATATCATGATAGCTTCCTGCCAGAAAGGACATTCAACACTGAAAACCTGACGGCAGGTTCTCAGAGTTTTCAACAAAAACTGAATGAAAGCTTTTCTCTAGCTCCTCTTTTGTTTTTATTTATTTTGAAACAGCCTCATGTGGCCCAAGCCCGCCTGAAAGTCACTATGTAGCCAGGGAGGACTCTGAATTTCTAATCCGCCTACGTCTGCTTCCCAAGCGTTGGGCTCATAGGCCTATGCCACCATACAGGATTTTGTACAATGCTGGGAATCAAAACCAGGCTTCTTATGTACTACACTAATCCTCCCTACCCCCGCCCACACACACACATCTGCAGCCCATCTTGTCTATTTATATTTAATTTTATCTTGCCACAGAAACTTTGCAATAATTTCCTCTTGGACCAGAGAGTAATCCCTCCTTTAGACCATCAGCCTGGGGCTGTTCCTGCCCCATTTCCCTACCTTATCTCCTCATCCTTCAACCACAGCTCCTGCCTGCCCCTCTGCCCATGCGCTTCCCTCCCATGCCCCAAAGCACAGTGAGGGGAGCCTGGAGTCCGCTTCTGTATCTCATACCCATTCCGCCCACCAAGCCGCCAGGTACCACCTCATTCCAGCCCCAGGCCTTCTCCTCCCCTTCAAATCAGGCCTCCACCCAGCAGGCTAGAAGGTATCCAAAGGGCCCAGATACCTGAAGATAGACTGGAAAGGAACAAGGTAGCTAGCTATGTGTAAGGACCAGAGAGACTGGAGTAACCACAGAGTAATCCCATCATGGAGAAATTAAAAAAAAAAAAAAGCCTCACAGACATGGCTGACTTCCCTTAGTGAACTTGACCCCTTCCTCCCTCTACTGAGCTCTGTGCTCAAGCTGGGACAAAGCAAACAGGCTCTGTCACTCACCACCACAGGTGTGTGCTCTCCGTAGGCATGTGCACTCCATAGGCAGGTGTGTCAGAATAGGGGTGAAGGGACTGGCTGGGCTGAAGCATTTTGCAATCGCTCTTCAGAAAAGCTGGCTCTGTCTCTCTCTCCTCACCCTAGATGAGAGTCACTGACTTGGCTGAGACAAGATAAGACCTTCGGATAACTTGAGCTTAAATTCTACAATTCTACTCCAAAGAAAGGAAGAGAGAGAGAGAAAGAGAGAGAGAGGGAGAGAGGGGGGGAGGGGAGGGAGGGAGGGAGGGAGGGAGGGAGGGAGGGAGGGGGAAAAATCTCATTTAATGAAGAAGGAAGCAGGAACCCCGGCTTGCTAAACAGCAAGACTCTTAATGTAGAGTTCAAAACCGGACAACAGTATCCTCACTCAAGTTCAAATAGTGACCTTGCTTGCCTTGAGTATGGATGGGCGGGGAGCGGGGTGGGGAGCAGGGGAAGCCCTGGCAGCACTCCATCATTCTCCTCCATCTTCTATCTGGAATGAACCCCTCAAGCTGAATCCTTGAAAAAAATATCAGAACCTTACAAGGCCAAGAGGGAGCCACAGTCTGAAGTCTCAGCAAACAGTGTTCTACCCTGTGGGGACATGAATGCCCTGCTTTGGAAACCCTGTATTGGTTTTTCTGCCTTCTGCATGTAACTGCCCTCACTTCCTCTAGACCATCTCCAACCCTTTGCCTATCCTATATGTTTTCTGGTCATGTCTCATCTGGCTTCACATCTGTGGGTTTTGTAAAGTGGATTCCATTCCTCTGGACTCATCTTTTTAAAATATCTCTAGGGATGATGCATTTCAGACACCAAATCCCTGCATACACAGACATACATACATAAATTCAGATACACACAGAGATACATGCATGTAGCTACATGTACACTTATACATACATACAGACATACATACATCCCTAAACCCATGTGGATGTACATGGATAATATAGACAAACATATACATACACACAGACAGGCTTATGCAAACAGACATAGACATGCACAGAGGCACAAATATACAGACAGTTCTCACCCTCCATTTTATTCAAGGTTAATTCACAACAGGCTGTGTGAGAAAGAGGCTGTCTTTTCTTGGTGGGGGTGTAGTTGGTCCTGCCCATCCCAGGCCAGGTACTAGTACCCAACAGCTCAAGCAGACCTTAAAGCTCAAAACAACTACTTCTTCAATCTGACCACCCCGACTACATACCAGTACTCACTTTTCCTCCTTGTGGGGAACGAAGGAAGACAAGAGGTAGGCGGAAGGCTTCTCCATTTCTATGAAAACAATTGCAGCTCCAAAGAATATTTATATGGAAGCCCTTGGGATTTTCCTCTGTAATTAAACACCAAGTACACAGAATTTCCATTCTTTTATTTAAACCATTATAAGAGCCCTGGGAGGTAGGAAGCACCCATTCCACAGCAAGAGGGAGAAAGACCAACCCAAGGAAACCATCCTCTGACAAGAGTCTCAGCAAGCACAGAGGAGACTAGTGACCAGCTCCAGATGGCACAGCATACAGATCCAATAAAGTCTTCCTCACTCATGAGGCAGTTTCCCATACACCAACACAACCAGCTTCTCTCTTTTTTTTAACCCCATCACAAAAGCAGAGCCCCACAAGAAGGCTCAAGTGCCTGTCAGAGTCAGGGAGATAGATGTTAGGTAGTTCTTGCACTCAGCAGCCTCACTTCTCAGTGTAGACGCGCACGAACTCCTCATAGTTCACCTTCCCATCTTGGTCCACGTCAGCCACACGGATCATGTCCTCCAGCTCCTCCTGGGAAAGCGACTCACTCATCTTGGACAGGCTTTGCTTGAGCTCCTCCACAGTGAGGTACCCATCACCATTCTGGTCAAGGACTTGGGACAGAGTCCGCAGCTTCCCCGTCCTGTACTTTTAGATACTTCTCTAAGAGCATCATGAATTCTTCAAAACTGACAGAACCATTGGCATCTTTGTCCAGTTGGGAGAAGAGCGCCTCCACTTCGTCCTCTGCTAGGTTCTTGCCCAGCTGCATCATTATAGCTCCAAGTTCCTGGACGTTGATATGGCCATCCTTATTCTCATCAAACCTATCAAAAGCTTTGTGGAACTCAGCCACCTGCTCCTTAGTAAACCCGTGAGACATCTCTGTACCTTACAAAGCTTCTGAGCTTCCTGTCAACTAGATGTCAACCTACTGCTCCTGGGGTTTCTGGTCCAGTGCTCAAGGCTGCTGCTGTGCTCTGAGGCTGTGGCTGTTGAAGGGCTGAGCTATAGGTAGCCTTGCCCTGGCATCGGAACCCCCTCCTTTTCTGTGATTGGAGCAGAGGGAGAAAGCTCCCCACCCTCTCCTTACCCTCAGGCATGATGCTCCTCCCAGGGAAGGACAGACCAGCTGCAGACAAGGAAAGAAGTAGTTTTAATGGAGGAGAAAATCTGTGGATAAGTTGCTAGGGAGTGGCCTGAAGGGCATAGGGCAGAGTCTGCCAGCCTCACCTAGCCTGGATAGCAGACCACCCCACTGCATGGACATCTGCCTAGACCCACTTACCCTGTGGCTGATTGTCACAGAGGCTTTGACCAAGCTGGTGGTTTCAAGAGTGCATTCCCCATTTCACAGAGACTCACTTGGGGAGAGACACAGGTGTTGAAGAAGCTGCCGGGGATCAGGATTGGCAGTCCTTAGTGGGGTTCAGATTAGTATCCCTCTCAGCTCTTGTCCTAAGGGTGAGAATGGTGGAAGAGGGAGAAGTACCAAGTCTTCCTGGATTTAGCTATAGCCTTGACTGTACTCACAGTCCTTGACAAAACAGAGGTTGGGGTTGTCTGTTTTTAGCACCCAGGAAGTAAGGATCTGGATATCATTCTGCTGCTGAGGCATTGTTTACAAATACAAACATGAAGTATGAAATCAGAGGTGAGAGGAAGGGCCTCTCATCTCTCCTAGTGAGTTCTACAATTCCACAGCTAAGTCCAGTGTTCTCCGGACTCTCTGGATCTCCACTGGAGATAAGAGATGCTCATTCCATACACAAGGAGGGGAAACAACTCAGGCTGGAGAGTCTTGCCTGGGTGGGTGTTGCTTCTGCCCTGGAAGGCAATGTGTGGCCAGCAAAGTTCAAGGACAGGACAGCCGTGGAAGGAACTTGAGCTCTTTGGGATCTCCTGTATCAGCCCTAAGCACATGAGTCTACCTGGGAGCCCCTACCCATGGCCTTCTGTGTATGGTCTGCATTCTGGAAGGAAACCCAACCCTGAACAACCTGGAGCAGGTTATTGGACTTACACAAACATACATACACACAGACAAGCTTATGCAAACAGTCATAGACATGCACAGAGACACAAATATAGAGACAGTTCTCACCCTCCATTTTATTCAAGGTTAACTCACAACAGGCTGTGTGAGAAAGAGGCTGTCTTTTCTTGGTGGGGGTGTAGTTGGTCCTGCCCATCCCAGGCCAGGTACTAGTACCCAACAGCTCAAGCAGACCTTAAAGCTCAAAACAACTACTTCTTCAATCTGACCACCCCGACTACATACCAGTACTCACTTTTCCTCCTTGTGGGGAACAAAGGAAGACAAGAGGTAGGCGGAAGGCTTCTCCATTTCTATGAAAATGATTGTAGCTCCAAAGAATATATTTTTTTTTTTGGAATCTCTTGGGATTTTCCTCTGTAATTAAACACCAAGTACACAGAATTTTCATTCTTTTTATTTAAACCATTATAAGAGCCCTGGGAGGTAGGAAGCACCCATTCCACAGCAAGAGGGAGAAAGACCAACCCAAGGAAACCATCCTCTGACAAGAGTCTCAGCAAGCACAGAGGAGACTAGTGACCAGCTCCAGGCGGTACAGCATCCAGATCCAATAAAGTCTTCCTCACTCGTGAGGTAGTTTCCCATACACCAAGAGAACCAGCTTCTCTCTTTTTTTTAACCCCATCACAAAAGCAGAGCCCCACAAGAAGGCTCAAGTGTCTGTCCGAGTCAGGGAGGTAGACGGTGAGGTGGAGCTTGCACTCAGCAGCCTCACTTCTCAGTATAGACACGCACAAACTCCTCATAGTTCACCTTCCCATCTTGGTCCACGTCAGCCACACGGATCATGTCCTCCAGCTCCTCCTGGGAAAGCGACTCACTCATCTTGGACAGGCTTTGCTTGAGCTCCTCCACAGTGATGTACCCATCACCATTCTGGTCAAGGACTTGGAAGAGAGCCCGCAGCTCCCCCGCCCTGTTCCCTTTTTTATACTTCTCCAAGGCCGTTAGGAATTCTTCAAAGCTGATGGTACCATCACCATCTTTGTCCAATTTGGAGATGAGCATCTTCAGTTCCTCCTCTGAGAGATTCTTGCCCAGCTGCTTCATTATAGCTCCAAGTTCCTGGACGTTGATATGGCCATCCTTATTCTCATCAAACCTATCAAAAGCTTTGTGGAACTCAGCCACCTGCTCCTTAGTAAACCCGTGAGACATCTCTGTACCTTACAAAGCTTCTGAGCTTCCTGTCAACTAGATGTCAACCTACTGCTCCTGGGGTTTCTGGTCCAGAGCTCAAGGCTGCTGCTGTGCTCTGAGGCTGTGGCTGTTGAAGGGCTGAGCTATAGGTAGCCTTGCCCTGGCATCGGAACCCCCTCCTTTTCTGTGATTGGAGCAGAGGGAGAAAGCTCCCCACCCTCTCCTTACCCTCAGGCATGATGCTCCTCCCAGGGAAGGACAGACCAGCTGCAGACAAGGAGTGAAGTAACTTTAATGGAGGAGAAAATCTGTGGATAAGTTGCTAGGGAGTGGCCTGGAGGGCATAGGGCAAAGTCTGCCAGCCTCACCTAGCCTGGATAGCAGACCACCCCACTGCATGGACATCTGCCTAGACCCACTTACCCTGTGGCTGATTGTCACAGAGGCTTTGACCAAGCTGGTGGTTTCAAGAGTGCATTCCCCATTTCACAGAGACTCACTTGGGAAGGGGCACAAGTGTCAAAGAAGCTGCTGAGGATCAGGATTGGCAGTCCTTAGTGGGGTTCAGATTAGTATCCCTCTCAGCTCTTGTCCTAAGGGTGAGGATGGTGTAAGGGGGGAAGTACCAAGTCTTCCTGGATTTAGCTATAGCCTTCACTGCACTCGCAGTCCTTGACAAGATAGGGATGGGGCTGTCTGTTTTTAGCACCAGGAAGTAAGGATCTGGGTATCATTCTGCTGCTGAGGCATTGTTTACAAAAACGAATGTGAAGTATGAAATCAGAGATGAGAAGAAGGCCTCTCATCTCTCCTAGTGAGCCCTACAATTCCACAGCTAAGTCCAGTGTTCTCCGGACTCTCTGGATCTCCACTGGAGATGAGAGATGCTCATTCCATACACAAGGAGGGGAAACAACTCAGGCTGGAGAGTCTTGCCTGGGTGGGTGTTGCTTCTGCCCTGGAAGGCAATGTGTGGTCAGCAAAGTTCAAGGACAGGACAGCCGTGGAAGGAACTTGAGCTCTTTGGGTTCTCCTGTATCAGCCCTAAGCACATGAGTCTACCTGGGAGCCCCTACCCATGGCCTTCTGTGTATGGTCTGCATTCTGGAAGGAAACCTAACCCTGAACAACCTGGAGCAGGTTGTTGGATTTACACCAAGACCTTACTCTTAAGATTTTCCAAAAGTGTGAACATCGCTTGTGAGTAGACATTGCCATGTAGTACCCAAGATGACTTTCAGGCAAGCCCCTTTTTGATCGCTAAATACTCTCCCTTCCTCTCCTTATCCAACCTTAGGAACAAACTTCTTTATTATCCTCCTGCGAAAACTTAACAAATTCCACCTGTTAAATGCATGTCTGAAGTGAGAAATATCCAGACACTCTGGCACTCCACCGCGACTCCCACCCTGTGTCCAGGGAACCTCAGATGTAGAGAGAGATGTAAAAAGAAAGGGTCCAGTTAGGGACTTCCTTTCAAAAAATATGGAGAAAAAAAAAAACAAAAATCTCTTGAAGAAGGATTGCTATCTCATCCCTGTGCTGGAAAAATACAGAGGCCTCAATAAATATTAAGCAACCAATTTCTCAATGGAGCTGACAACCAGTTCTGGGTGGAGAATGTCATTGCAACCTGGACAGCGGAGTAAGGAAGCATCTTGCTGGGTGAGAGACCCAGGAAAGGTGGGGCTTTTAATAACAAGCTTCAATCCAGCTGCTTTGTTGTTTTATTCAAGAATATTTGAAGATATCCATCTATATCTGAAATTTCCTTTTCTTCTCATCTAATTAGCAGAGCCTGTGACTAAAAACTAAATACATAATCATCGTTGTGCTATTATGTTCCTTTGGTTAAGTAATACTTCACACTCAGTGCTAGGAGATTTGCTGTTCCTAGTTCTGGATTGATTGCTGATCTGGCCAATTATGTCCCAATGTCTTCATCTGCAAGCAAGGATGATGCATCTACTGTATCTAAGGAGAATAATTAAGGCAAAGTAAAAAGTTCAGGTGAATAGATGTTACTGCTCTATGATAAACCTCATATTCAAGGATAAGCTAGTTTAGCTTTGGCAGAAGCCTCAAAGAATATCTTCTTGAATGGGGAGCTCATTCTGTTTCATTATCAATTCTTTCTTGTTTGAACAACAAAAAACACCGAAATTTTCATCTACTCCAAGGATATAGACAAATCATATCAGCCAAGTCTCCAAATGTCCAACCATCACATTTCTTCTTCTCCTTCTTCCTCTTCCTCTTCTTCTTCTTCTTCTTCTTCTTCTTCTTCTTCTTCTTCTCCTCCTCCTCCTCCTCCTTCTTTTTCATCTTTTCTTCTCCTTCTCCTTCTCCTTCTCCTTCTCCTTCTCCTTCTCCTTCCTTCTCCTCCTCCTCCTCCTCCTCTTCCTCCTCCTCCTCCTCCTCTTCCTCCTCCTCCTCCTCCTCCTTCTTCTTCTTCTTCTTCTTCATCTCCTCCCTCCTCCTCCTCCTAACCCGTCTTCTTCTCAAGACAGGGTTTTTTTTTTTGTGTAGCCCAGTTGTCCTGGAACTCACTTTGTAGACAAAGCTGGCCTCAAACTCAGAGATTCACCTGTCTGTACTTCCTCTGCCCCTGCCCTGTCCCTGCCCCTGCCCCTGTCCTCGCCCATAGCCCTGCCCCTAACCCTGTCTCTACCCCTGCCTCTGCATCCAAAGTCCTGGGATTAAAAACTCTGGCATCAATGGGAGGGGTGGCCCTTGATCCTGTGGAGGCTTGATGCCCCAGCATAGAAGGATGCTAGAGGGGTGAAGTGGAAGTAAGTGGTTGGGTGAGCAGGGGGGCACCCTCTTAGAGGCAAAGGGGACAGGAAATGGGATAGGGGGGTATGTGGATGGGAGACATGGAGGGGCACAACATTTGAAATGTAAATAAATAAAATAACTAATAAAAAAGTTTTAAAAAGGTAAATTTGACTTAAGTAAAAATAAACAACAACAAAGCAAAACAACAACAAAAACATGCACCTCTATCACCGGGCTAACCAATGCCATTTCATGTAAATATCTACAAAGCTGAAAATATGGTTCTGTAGTCAAAGTGCCTTTCATTCAAGGACAGGATCCTTGTAAAAAGCCAGGTACATGTTTACAGTCCCATCACTGGAGAGGTAGAGATAAGAGAATCATTAGAGCTTGTCGGACAGCTAGTCTAGCCAAATCCATGATTACCAGGGTCCCCAAGAGACCCTCAAACAGGAAGACAATAGAGGAAGCAATGGAAGAAGACACCTGGCATCAACCTCTGGACTCCACATGAATGAGTACACATGTGCGTACACATGCGCGTGTGTGTGTGCGCACACACACACACACACACACAACATACACAGAAAGAAGAATTGAGGGAGGGATACAGGAACAAATCGAGCTGGACTGGGGATGAAGGAAGCTCAGTGGTAGAGTGCCTGCCTAGCCTGCACAAAGACCCAACTTCCACCCCCTAGTACCACCAAAAAAAAAAAATGTTTTTTAACCAAGTGCTGCCATAGTGAAGAAAGGCAATCATGTGATACTCATCTTCCATCTTCTAGATGAAGAAATGGAATATTTAGCAGGAAAGCCCTATGACTCCCCAGGAGTCATACGAAAGGATTCTCCCTCCTCCCTCTGCAGTGTGGGTTCTGCTTCCTCTCATAGGCCATGCTTTGCCATGTATAAATACTGAAATGGCTTCTTTCTTCCTTCCCACACAGTCTCCTGACTCAGTGTTAACTGTATGGCTTACCTTCCCAGGACAGAAGTCGTCAGTGACAGCCATGCCGCAGGAACCTCATCGAGTCACACCTGAGGTTAAGAAAGAGAACAGTGTGTCATTGACACCCAAACCCACTTCTACAAAGGCCCTTCCTCATTAGCTGGTTTAACACACCAACCTGGCTCTGTGGTGTGAATTTTTATGGGAAGGAGAAGAGATACCTTGGTTTCGTGACTGCCTGTAGCTGAGATACCTGCATCTCACATGAGGCTCCTGTTTGATAAAGAGACAGTGGAAACTGTTCATTCATGAGTAGCTGAGGGCTACTGAGGGCTACGGTGCTTGCTTCTTGATGCACAGCTGGGGGACACGTGAGAAGGAAACTCAGGCAGCTCAGCAAGAGAAGGGAAGATAGCAGCAGATCTGTGCCAGGCAAGGTGGCTGGCCGGGAGCTGGTGAGTGACACGTGGCAGGGGTTAAGAGATCGAGAGAACCAAAGCTGAGCAGGTGAGGTTTTCTGATAAGGAGCTTCTGGAACCAAGTGAGGAAGGAGAGAGTCAGTGGTTAGCAGAAGAGACTGCGCAGGGGTAAGGCAGGCTGTGCCTTTGGGCTGGGTATTGGAGGTGGACTGTGGCCTAGGCTGTATGCTCCCTCATGACTACTCAGCCTATCTCTTCCAGAAGATGTGGACTCTTCCAAGTGAGAATGACTATGGCCCTGGATAAGATGGAACCCCTTCATTAAGGCTGACTAAAGATCTCTGCAGATAGCAAAGTAGAGATGAAAACTTCCTTGAATCTGCTAGGCCAGTTCCTGAAAGCAGGAAGAAAACATGACCACAGTGGCCATAGGGCAGTCTTTTGCAAAGATCCCATGTAAGTGTATCTGTGCACGGGCACGTGTTTCTGTGCTCACGTGTCTGAGCGCAGACTAGCAGTATGCACACGAGTTTGTTTATGTGTGCATGTGCATCTATATATGTGTATGTGTGGTTATGCATCCTGGTTAGTCTTGGAATTTTTTTTTAGTTGTTGTTGTTGTCGTCAACTTAACACAAGCTAGGATTATCTGGGAAGAGGAACCTCAGTTAAGAAAATGCCTCCATCAGATTGAACCACACACAAATCTGTGTGGGGCCGTTCATTGATTTAATGATTGATATTAAAGGGCCCAGCACACTTGGGACAATGTTACTCCTAGGCATGTGGTCCTAAAAACAAACTGAGCAAGCCACCCGGAGCAAGCTAGGAAGCAGCTTTCATCAGTGATCTCTGCTTCAGCTCCTGCCTTGAGTTCTGCCCTGACATCGCTCCAAAATGGACTCTAAACCATAAGCTGAAATAAATGTTTTTCTTCCCAAGTTGCTTTTGGTCACAGTCTTTATAATGGCATCAGGAAACAAACCAGAGCTATGTATGGGA